TCCCTAACTGACACACATTCACTTATGGGGAATTGGGGATATGGATCAGCTGCTTGTGTGACAGTCGGACAGTGAATACTTTACAGCGGCCGCTGCTGTGAGTTAAAGGGAGAATAAACTCCTGTGGAAGAGCAGCCAGCACTGCAGCAGTCGGTAAATGCCACTGAAACACATTAATAAACAATGAACCAAGGCACTCTGGAGAAAAGTATAAGGTTGGAGAAGTCCTTATTTAATTTCATCTGGCTTCGTATGATTAAAAGCAACACGATCATCAACCCGACGCAGTCCCCCATTGTTGTTGTAGTGAGCGCCGTTGGGGTGAAAATTAGCGATGTAAACGGTGACGTCATAACGCAGCAGCGGCACCACCAGTCGGGCTCTAGGGCTGTGTGAACAAAACGGGGGCTGAAAAGAAGAACCGGTTCCGAACCAGAAAAGCTCTAGCACGAGCTAGAACGGGAACTGCGTTGGTGTGAAAGGGCCATGATACACGCTGTTAGGCTAATGCGTTAGCAACGGTTAGCCGCGGATAATTTAGCATCGATAATTTCATTAAATAACATATTGAACATCCGTATTTTCACATGCGACTCACCAAGGTATCATAAGAGTCAGTGCTCTTTTGAAATCGTGGCCAAGTCGGTCAATTAATGTCTAAATTATTTCAAATAACTACAATCTCAAAGCTCAAAATCTACACAGTGCTACTGCTACTGAGTCATCGTCCCAAAGGAATAAACAGTGCATCTCACTTCCTGGTACACAGGCAGAAACGGGGGTGGGTCTAAACTTAGATTTGCTTTAGATTAAGAGGTCAAAGACACTATAGAAACATGAACCATGGATTATTTTAACCATCTAATTGGCAAAAAAACAGTTTTTATGATGGTTATATTAGAGCTGCTCCAGGTGTAGCACTTAACACCTGGAGAAAACGGTTTAGCTTTCCTTTAAGGCCCTCATTGACCATCCACCTACAATAGCCAATCAGATGGCTGATAACGTTTTGGGCTTCTAGTCAAAAGGCAGGCCTTTTTCATGCATTTGGTACACCAGATGGTGGTCCATGTGCCCAACGTGTGCTGAAGGAGCATCTGCCTACAGTATACACACAGGGTTGTGTACATGATCATCTCATCGCAGATACCTACTGTCAAATGGTTATCTCTGTTAAGAAGGAGCCCTGCTGCCTGGTGCCTCAGTGGCTGGACAGGAAATCCAGAAGAAGATAGCCACATCAATTCAACATCAACCGCCTCCCTAATGTCTCAGCAGAACTCACTGAGATTCCTTGGGATGAGATACACATTGGTTCTGCTTATTGGTATTGATGGTAACCTACATGGCAGTTGATATGTACAGCTTGATTATACTGTATTTATCTATCCTTAAATGTCTTATTAGGGCTGTGCAATTAATCATATTTTAATCTCGAAATAAAACGATTATTTTGCTGCGTGCGCTGTCGTTCCTCCCTAAAAGCCCTCTCCGCCAGGTTGTGAGTTACAATAATTGTGTGAGTTCAGCGCGAGCGAAGATAGCAGAACAAGAGCAACTCGTCAACAAGAAAGGTAAAACCAATTCCGCTGTTTGGAAATACTTTGGGTTTAAGGAGTCTGACGGGGAACAAAAAAAAGTGCAGTGCAGCAGGGGCGGACTGGGGGGGGAGCCACCTGTGATTCAAGAACACACAGGTGGCTCCCCCCCCCCGTTGACAGTTCACGAGTGTGCCCCCTTGACTTCCTCCACCACATCATAGTCATCAATTAAGGACACGCTTTACAGTGCAACTCCTACTCAACCAGCTCGCAAAGACACAAATATATATCAGAGGCCATCACATTCTACATAGCTAAAGACTAATGTGCCCAGTTAGCACGGTTAGCAACCAGGGGTTTAAGCAACTAGTTCCAGGTAATAAACTGTTAAAAATATACTGTTCAAATTATTATTTTTAAAGTTCGTTAAAAGGATTTTTTCAAAGTCAAAGAATAATCATATTTAATAATTGTGATATCACTATTGACCAAAATTAATCGTGATTATGATTTTTGCCATAATCGAGCAGCCCTATGTCATATTGCATAACACATTTGAAAATAGTAGGGATGTAACGATATATCGAATATCGCGGTAAATAAATGTCTCAATACCGTCGTGAGACTGACAAAATATACCTTTATTCAACCAGATGGTCCCATTGAGATCATCAATCTCTTTTTCAAGGGAGACCTGTCCAACATGGCAGCAAGTAGGTTACAACATGAACATAAAACAACAGATAACAATAAAGGACATCATATTTACAGGGCTACATGTACATACCTGGAGACATTGACAAGTACCAACAGTATATTTATATCTCGCCCTGTCAATAAGCCTCACCTTCTTGGCAAAAACGGTATTGTTTTTGAAGTGGTGGAGAGACAATGCACAGTTTGACCCACTGCAGTCACCCATGGCCAAAGCATATCTCTCTGTCCCAGCAACATCAGTACCAAGCAAGAGAGTTTTTTCCACAGCAGGGGATATTGTAAACGCCCAAATATCTCAGCTTCTACCTCGAAATGTGGACATGCTCATATTCCTAAAAGATAACCTTGATGATGCTGAGTGAGTGAGTTAGAGTTGAGTTACTTGAAAAACTAAAGTGAAACTTGATTTATTCTATTGCAGGGTCTGATTATTATATTGTTGACACTTTAAAATACTACTATCCTACTAAAATGCTGTACAAATCAGATGTATTATTTAATAAAGAAAAAACAATTTTTTTTCTTTATTTTTCAATATCGCGATAAATATCGTACCGTGGACTTTTTAATCGCGATATTATCGTACCGTGAGTTTTTGGTATCGTTACATCCCTAGAAAATAGTGATTGTTAATCAGCAATTGGAGTGTAGACATTCCAGAAATTGAATGATATTCATGGTTTGACCTTCATAATGTTATGATTCTGTTTAGTTTTATTTTTGTTGTGTGCTTTTGTGTGCTTTTTCCTGTCTCACCCCTCTCTTCTCTGTGTTCCTCTGCAGGGCTGGCGTGTGACAGGGAGTTGGCTGGCTCCTCCCAGGAGCAGACGAGGCACACCTGTTTCCACTCACCTCTTCACCTGTAGATTTATAAGCCCGGTCCTCATGCCACTTCCCTGCCAGATAATTCCTCTGTGTTTCGACCCTCCGGTGTGTCTCGCTGCTCTCCTCGTCGTTTGGATTAAGTGTTTGGATTTTTGCCTCCTGTCCCTGACGACTCAGTGCCAGCCAACTTCCTGACTCCACTGCCGTATTTTCTGTTTTCTGCTTGAATAAAGCTTTTTGTTTATTGACCATCTCTCTCCAGTCTTTTGCTTTGGGGTCCAAAATTCTATAGGCCGTAACAGAATTATCTGGCCAAAGCATGGACCCCGCAGAGACTGAGAAATTGAGGCAAGCTCTTTCGACACAGGGAGCTCGTGTGGGGCAGCACGAACAAGCTCTACAAGGTATCATGGAATCCCTCCACAACCTTACTGCCGGTTTCACTCAACTCAGCGGCTGCTTGGACCAGTCTTTCATCCAGCTCAACACGCTGACGGCTCCAGCTCCTGCGCCACCGCCCCCACCTCCTGAGATTCCAGTCATTCATCCCGGCCAACCCCGTGAACCATTCATCCCCACCCCTATGAGGTATTCAGGTGATTCAGGGACATGCAGTCAGTTTTTTCACCAGTGCTCCATAGTTTTTGATCAGCAGCCTTTAACTTACTCCTCTGACAGAACTAGAGTAGCTTTCATTATGAGTTTGTTATCGGGTAAAGCAGCTGCATGGGCGGTAGCCATAGCAAAGAGTAACCCAGCTATCTATAACTCTTTTCCTGTGTTTGAGACCGAGATGTATCGAGTTTTTGACCACCCGCTTCAGGGTAAGGAGGCTGGTAATCGGCTCCTTTCTTTACGCCAGGGTTCTGAGTCAGTCTCCACTTACTCAATTGATTTCCGCATTCTCACAGCAGAGAGCGGGTGGGATGAGACGGCTCTACAGATAGCTTTTTCCCGTGGATTAAACGACCAGTTAACCCTTAAAGACCTAGACGGAATTTTCGCCTGCCTGACTCTCCTGTATTTATTTGTTTCTCCTAACCTGTTCTAACCTTTTCTTGCAGTCAGCATCAAGTGCCTTACCTCATTTGATTCAGGAGAACCTCTAGTTCAAGTCTGGCTAATTTGAAGTCCAAATTTTACCATAACTTTGTGTGATAATGGCTGAATTTACCAGCACTTTTCAAAAACGCCAGTACAAATGTTGTGTTTTTTTACTGTTTACTCCGCCAGGAACATAGGGATTTTCTTTTTTATTATTTACAAAGCTGCATTTAGATGTTTTAGGCTTTCAAATTAAATTTCATCTGCATATTATGTTCCCTGAGCAAGTTACAGCTATTTATTACAATATGATCCTAGGCGTTTTTCACTGAAAAACGCCTAGGATCATATGGAATAATTAAAACGAAATGTATTTCCATATTTAAATGACTGATCATGTTTCTTCTGTCAAAAAAAGGTTGAGAGAGTAAACAATTAAACCATAACAGATGACATTGCAACAAAAATAACTTGTTTCAGAGATATATATTATCATTTGAACATTGAAATACAAACACAAACAGTGAAACAAATTCAAAGTGCAAATTAACAAAGTGCAAATTATATTAAAACTATAAACAAAGTATTAGGAATATATAGAAAGTGCAAAAGTACAAAGAGCAAATGATCTTCAAACTATAACCAAAATATTAGAAAAATATATAAAGAGCAAAGGAAATGTATCAAGATTCATCATGGTCTGGGTCGCTCAGATGTACAGCTCTGCTGATTGCCATGAACCTGTCTCTTGTCATGACAGGAGCAGGAAAGAGAACACTCAGGTGTGATCCCTTCCTCCAGTAGTCACTTACTTTTAGCAGTTTTAGAAGTGCCATAAGGCCGACATACATGAGGAATTTTACCGGCTTTCCCAAACAAACTTTTCCCCCTTAGCCTGCTCCTTTTCAGCATTTTTGTTTGTGTTCTTGCAGATGATATTTACAGCTTGGTTGTTAAAACAATTTCTAAATATTTGTGCAGGAGTATACTCCACACCAACAAAACCTTGGACTCCACGGGCTCTTTTCGGGCAAAAGTGTGGTAGTTGTTGGGCAGTATCTGGCACCTCAGGTCGGTTCCAAACAGCTCCTGGCTCTTCTGGGGTCAGAGATGTTTTTTTCCCTTTTCCTCTTCCTCTCCCTTTCACTGTCAGGGGGGCTGGCATTGGTTTGGCCTTTTGTCTGGATGCTGCACCCTCCTGGCCACATTATTTTCCCTCTCGGTTTGAAGGAGGCCTACTGATGGGGACAGGGGCTTGTGCATCCCCTCTCTCATCCTCTGTACTAAAATAAAAGGGAGGAAAATATACAGATATAAATGTCTGAATTTATTTTATTTCCTTTATTGCTTTTATTTCTCCAGTGTCATCCTATCTGTTTTCTAAACACAGTCTCAACTTTTGATTTGATTCACACTTTATCCCTCTGCTAACATTACTAGTTGATGGAATCAGTAACTGAATTGTAATGCAATGAATATAATAACATTAGACCTCATAACAAACAACCAAAGAGGGCAAGCGGAATGAGGCAATAAATGAAAGGTATTGCTTGACGTTTTTTTACTGAAATAAATAGTAGCCTCTATTGATAGTGAATCTTGAGCTCAGGACTTCACTTTATGACACAATTACGGCAAATGGCCATCCATTATAAAAACTCTTAGGACTAATTATTTTTCGGCGTTATACAGAAACAACAACCGATAAATGCAACACAAACAATAAGAAATAAGCAAAGTTACTCACTTTTTTATCTTCGAAGGGATCAATCCCGTGATCATACTCCTCTTCCTTGCCAGTTGTCAGCTTCAGAATCTGAGGAATCCACCGCTGCATCGCTAAGCGGTCCGCCAGACCAAATAAATTCTACGGCTTCTTCCGTAGTGTAACGCCGTTTTGACATGTTGGTTTGAATTTGTCTTGGGATATGTGTGTGTGTGTATGTATGTGTATTTGTGTGTGTGTGTGACTGTATCTAGATATCTCGTGTTGTATTTATTTCTCTTACGCTGGCAGAATTACTCTTCTTTAGTATTACTCTCTCGTCTCTCTGTTTCTCTTTGTTTATCTCCCGCCGCCAAAAACATACACAGCAACCTATGTTGATTGGTCGAGAAGATGGTAGCATGGGCAGAGGTTTGCCTGGACCTTTACCCTTTTAAACCTATCCGGACACAGGGGGGTGGGACTTAGTCTAAAACCTTTGCTGTTTGGCTCAGACAGAGGGGCCGCGTGGGTCTCCTTGACGAATCAAGGCTGTAAAATGTGATAACGTTGCCCCGATCACGTCGGAGCCTCTGAATCCCGGAAAAGGACATAGTGATACCAGCAAAAAGCCTAGAATAGCCGCTTTACCTCACTTTTTAAATCAGATGGATAGGATTAGCGGTTACAAAGTTATTAAGCATTTTAGAACGCTACCTCTTTGAAGCCGCGGGCGGCACGCTCGGCCTTTAAGGGTTAAAGGACGAGCTAGCTGCTCGAGATGAGACTTCGTCCCTTGAGGAGTTTATTTCGTTGGCCATTCGCTTAGATAATCGCCTCCGTTAGAGGCGTAGGGAGAGAACAGACAGGCAGAGATTCCCTTTCCCCTTTTCCCAACCCAAGTCACCACGTCCGCCTGGACAGTCTGCACCTCCTCACCAACGCCTGGGGCCTTTCTCCTACCGGGACCCACCCACCGTCTCCTCATCCCTAAGCCCAGAAGAGCCTATGCAGCTGGGGAGAATGAGGCTCTCACCTGCGGAAAGGGGAACGCCGTTTCTTCCAGAGGCTCTGCATATACTGTGGTCAGGCTGGCCACATTCGAGCCAACTGTTCCGCTCTGCCAAAAGAGCAGGCTCAGCAGCCGGGGGAGGGGCGCTGGTGAGCCATACTTCTGTCTCCCCTTCCCACGCTAATCGTCTCCAGTTAAAGGGTACGGTTTCTAGTTCACAAGTTTCCCTTCCCCTTCAAGTCTTAGTTGATTCAGGGGATGATGAAAATGTTATTGACTCTGACCTGGTTTTCCAGTCTAATCTCCCCTCAGAACTCCTGCCCGAGCCCAAGAAAATGTTTTCCCTTGATGGTAGGCTTCTTGCCCGTGTAACTCACCGTACTGCCCCAGTGTCATTGTTACTCTCAGGTAATCATCACGAGACCATTTCCCTTTATCTCATTCCCTCACCCCTTTCTCCGCTGGTGTTAGGTCTCCCCTGGCTTAAACTCCACAACCCACACATAGACTGGGCCACCTTATCCATCGTCAATTGGAGTTTGTTCTGCCACTCTCACTGTTTACACTCTGCCATACCCACCACTGTTACTTCAAAACCTGTTCCCCCCCAGACCTGTTGACCTCACGTCAGTTCCCTCTGAGTATCATGACCTCCAGGAGGTTTTCAGCAAGGATCGTGCCCTGTCTCTACCACCTCATCGACCTTATGACTGTGGCATTGACTTGCTCCCCGGTGCTCCCTTGCCTTCGAGCAGACTTTATAATATCTCCAAGCCGGAGAGGAAGCCCATGGAGACTTATATCACTGACTCTGTTGCTACTGGTCTCATTCGCCCTTCTCGCTCTCCATTGGGGGCAGGGTTTTTTTTTGTTGACAAGAAGGATAAGACTCTACGCCCCTGTATTGATTTCAGGGGCTTGAATGACATTACTGTAAAGAATAAGTATCCTCTTCCGCTCATAGACTCAGCTTTTGGTTTCTTCCATCAAGCCACCATCTTCTCTAAGTTGGACCTCCGAAATGCCTACCACCTAGTTAGGATAAGGGAGGGAGACGAGTGGAAGACTGCGTTTAAGACGCCCCTGGGACATTTTGAATATTTAGTTATGCCTTTTGGGTTAACTAACGCCCCTGCTGTGTTTCAGGCACTCATTAACGATGTCCTTCGTGATATGCTTAACAGATTTGTCTTTGTATCTTGATGATATCCTCATTTTCTCTCGTGACCCCCAAGAACATGTCCAACACATGAGGTTGGTGCTGCAGAGACTTCTGGAGAACAGACTTTATGTTAAGGCTGAGAAGTGTGCCTTTCATGTTTCCTCTGTTTCATTCCTGGGTTTTGTGGTAGAGAAGGGACAGGTCAGAGCCGACCCTGCCAAAGTCATGGCAGTGGCCGAATGGCCCACTCCTACAACGAGAAAGTAACTCCAAAGGTTTCTTGGTTTTGCCAACTTTTACCGCAGGTTTATTCGTGACTATAGTCGAGCAGCCGCCCCACTCACCAAGCTCACCTCAGTTAAAGTTCCCTTTGTGTGGTCATCTGAAGCTGAGGCTGCTTTTGCTATGTTGAAGTGTTTGTTTTCCTCTGCTCCTGTGTTATCTCACCCTGATTCTTCAGCCCCTTTCGTGGTCGAAGTGGATGCCTCCGACACTGGTGTAGGGGCAGTCCTCTCCCAGCGCTCAGCCTCCGACCAGAAGTTGCATCCCTGCGCCTTCTTTTCCCGCCGGCTCTCCCCGGCAGAAAGAAACTATGATGTGGGAAATCGGGAGCTTCTGGCAGTAGTCTTAGCCCTGCAGGAATGGAGGCACTGGCTTGAAGGCACAACTTATCCGTTTGTGGTATGGACGGACCACAGAAACTTAGCTTATCTCCGTTCTGCTCCCAGGCTCAACTCTCGCCAGGCTCGATGGGCACTTTTTCTGGGCCGGTTCAGCTTCACCCTCACCTATCGGCCAGGCTCACGGAACATCAAGGCAGACGCCCTGTCACGTCAGTTCGCTCCTCCGGTTGAGGAGCCATCCGCGGGAACCATTCTTCCATCCTCCTGTGTGGTGGGAGTAGCCACATGAGGACCATCCAGCTCCTGAGGATTGTCCACCGGGTCGGCTGTTCGTTCCACCGCACACCAGATCTTCAGTGCTCCAGTGGGGACATGATTCTAAGGTAGCTTGCCATCCAGGAGCACTTCGGACTCTAGGCCTCCTCCAACAACGCTTCTGGTGGCCCTCCATGTCCTCTGACGCCAAGAAGTATGTCGCCGCCTGCTCCATCTGGGGGCCGCAGTAAGGCATCCCACCGCGCCCCTGCTGGTCTTCTCCGCCCTCTTCCCATTCCTCATCGGCCTTGGTCTCACATCGCCATGGACTTCGTGACGGGTCTTCCCCCATCGGAAGGAAATACAGTTATCCTGACGATTGTTGACCGCTTTTCCAAGGCCGTACACTTCGTTCCCCTACCTAAGTTACCTTCTGCTCTGGAGACTGCTACACTAATCACCCAGCATGTTTTTAGATTGCATGGCATTCCTCTGGACATTGTTTCTGACAGGGGTCCGCAATTTGCCTCTCGAGTCTGGAAAGCCTTTTGCCAGGCATTGGGGGCGTCGGCCAGTCTGTCATCAGGTTACCACCCGCAGACCAACGGCCAGACTGAGCGTGCGAATCAGGACCTGGAGGCAGCCCTTCGCTGTGTCTCTTCTCACCATCCAGTCTCCTGGGCCTCCCACCTGCCTTGGGTTAAATATGCCCACAACTCCCTGGTTTGCTCCGCCACAGGAATGTCTCCATTCATGGCTTCTGTTGGGTTCCAACCCCCTCTCTTCCCCACCCAGGAGAGGGATGTGGCAGTCCCCTCAGTACAGGGGCATCTTCGGCGGGCCCGCAGAGTCTGGCATGAAGCTCGGGCAGCTCTCGTTCGCACTGCTGCTCGCAACCAGAGGCTTGCAGACCGCCATCACACTCCAGCCCCGGACTACCAGCCCGGTCAGAAGGTCTGGCTGTCCTTCCGTGATCTGCCACTCCAGACTGACTCCCGCAAACTGGCACCCAGGTACATTGGCCCATTTGTAATTGAACGGATTATTAACCCCGCTGTGGTTAGGCTCAAGCTGCCTGCTGCCTTGAATGTCCACCCAGCATTTCATGTCTCACTGCTCAAACCAGTTTCCTCCAGTCCTCTGAGCCCTCCGGCCGAGCCCCCTCCTCCCCCCCGGAGTATTGACATTCATCCTGCTTTCACCGTCCAGCGGTTGTTGGATGTACGAAGGCGAGGCCGGGGGTTCCAGTACTTGGTGGATTGGGAGGGGTACGGACTAGAGGAGCGTCAATGGGTCTCCCGCTCCCTGATTTTGGACCCTGCTCTCCTTAGGGACTTTTATGAGAGGTACCCGGACAGGCCTGGTAGGACGCCAGGAGGCGTCCGTTGAGGGGGGGGTACTGTTATGATTATGTTTAGTTTTATTTTTGTTGTGTGCTTTTGTGTGCTTTTTCCTGTCTCACCCCTCTCTTCTCTGTGTTCCTCTGCAGGGCTGGCGTGTGACAGGGAGTTGGCTGGCTCCTCCCAGGAGCAGACGAGGCACACCTGTTTCCACTCACCTCTTCACCTGTAGATTTATAAGCCCGGTCCTCATGCCACTTCCCTGCTAGATAATTCCTCTGTGTTTCGACCCTCCGGTGTGTCTCGCTGCTCTCCTCGTCGTTTGGATTAAGTGTTTGGATTTTTGCCTCCTGTCCCTGACGACTCAGTGCCAGCCAACTTCCTGACTCCACTGCCGTATTTTCTGTTTTCTGCTTGAATAAAGCTTTTTGTTTATTGACCATCTCTCTCCAGTCTTTTACTTTGGGGTCCAAAATTCTATAGGCCGTAACACATAATTCGATGTTACCATCGAACCCTATCACAACAAATGGTAATTTCTTTGTCGATCGGGGGATTTTCCTGCTTTTCTCTTGCCATAGTTTCCCCTCTGTGCACATTCATTCCCAGAGTGGGATGAGAAGGCTTTGATTACTTTATTCCTAACCCTTCAGAACATTAAGATCCCAGAGTGCAGGTCTGTTGGTGGTTCCCAGAGTCCACAAAATGAGATCAGGTTCGGCTACTGTAAGAGATTTGGAGGGCAAACTGGGCCGCTTTTCAAATCTCCGCGCGTCCCTATCCAGCTGGTTATAATACAGGAAGGAATCCATATCTACAAAGTAACCGTTAACAATAATCTACTTTAATGGCAATATGACAATGCAATACAATCATTACAATACAACATGATATATTACAGTTATATTGTAATGCTTAAAGAGTAATGCCGGCTTACTCCTGCACTGGTTCGCATACTGCAGAGATACTTTCACCCGGGGCAGCATGTGAAGAAGAGGCAGAAAGCCAGGGATCAACCGGAGATATGCCGGAGTAAGAAGGAGGGGTTAAGGGTTAGGTCAGCTGGTCATCTTTTCCGGTCGTCTCATTCGGCGACGCAACGCTGGCCAGCAGGAAACCAAACAGGCTCACTTCACAACCAAAAGGTCTCAAGAACCTGCATACCTACACCTCCCCCACAGAGCAATAAAACCCTGTTTACTCCAAACAGCCCCAACTCCAGCTCACAGTTTTACACAACTTATTCCCATTTTAAGCTCATCCATAGTTTGCTAATATGAATACCTACAAATATTACCCCACAATTCCCCCTTTTTATCTCCTTCTCCAGAGATAAACTCAGACAAGGCATTTTGA